TAAGATAAAATCGAAGCAAAAATGCATTGATTGTGTGCGAAAACTTGATTTGAAGCTTCCAAAAAGATCCTAGAAAATTTGGGTTGTGTGTTTGAGAGTGTTTGAGGGAGAAATGAAAGGTAGATGTTCGAAGGGAGGGGCCGGGGAGGTGGAGGGTTGCAGCAGGCCGGTGGTAAGGGGGGTTGACCGAAGGTTGAGGTGGGTCGCCGGGGATGAGAGGTTGTAGGTGGCGTGGGGGAGGAGGGTTGCTACAGTGGGAGGAGGAAAGGAAAGGGATGCTGCAAGGGGAGGTTGAAAGGGAGGAGGGTGGTGGTTTTTGTTCTTTTTTTATTTTTATAAATTAATTTAGTTATAAAATTGTTAAGTGAGTACTAAATGGATAATTAGAATAAATTAGAAATTAATTACGTGGATTAGAGACACTTGGTTGTCATCAACAAAAAAAATTCACATTCGGGTTTTCTCTTGCCAAAATGTTAAAATTCGGGTTTCCTTTAGCTAAAAAGCTTTTAAAAGGTTTTTTTTTCGCAAAATGGTGTATCTAAAAGGTTTGTTTTTGACAAATTTGCCTTTTTTTTTTATCATGTTTTTCAATACACTATTTTAATGATTAGTATCTATAAATATCGATATTGTAAAATTTTCGTCTAACCTATCACTGATCGATCAACCCTTATAACACTGATCGAGTAACCTCATAACATTAACGAAGTAAGCTCTGTAACATTGACCGAGTAACCCCTATAACACTAGCAAAGTAATCAATATAATCACACGATGTGACCAGCCACATAAAAGGTTTTTTTTTTAAAATAAATAAATTGTATGTAGTTCCTAGAAGCATTTGATAAATATTATCTTTGATCCTTTATATAAATATCACAAACTCTTATATGTGGCTGACCATATCATATAATAACTAATATATAAAGCTAAACTTTTAGCCAGACCACGAGACAGTGACACTTGACAATTTTATTGTTCGCCAAGTGTCACACCACGTAGGCTATTAGATATTAGTATATGTTACATAGGATTTATTTAATTATAATTTTTTTTTGTAGAGTGTAGGATAAAATATTTGATAAATATAGATAGATTTTATAGGTTAATATTATTATTTTAGAGTTTTATTTTCAATAAAATTTGGATAGAGTTTAAAGATAAAATTTTTGGTTTAAAATTTTATTTTCAATAAAATACTAATATTTTGAATCCAAAGGACCGGGTTATATAATATAGATGTACCGTACAATTGTACTCTCATTCTCCTCCCTCAAAAAAGGAAAATAATCAAACAAACATGCTATTATATATAAGTATATAATATAATTGGTATCAAGTTTTAACATGCATCTAAGTAGAAAATGAAATGAGATCAACAGTTTAGACAACGGTTTTTTTTTTTTTTTTTTAATTGTGATCACTACTATCTAAAGTTGTGAAAATAGGATTGTAGAATCACAATGAGTAGAAAATTCAAATAACATAAATTTTTTTATTTTAAAATTCAATAAACAATTCGAGCATCGCACGGGTCCAAAACTAGTATATACTATATGTCTATATATATGTCTTCATTAAAAGTAAATCGGTTATATAAAATTTTTCTGTACATATTAATATTAGTGAATATATTACCTTACTTTTAATAAAATATGCTAAGTTGACAAACGTAGGATTTTATTTAATGAAATTGCCTTACAAATACACCCTTAATTGGTTTGGTTTCCAAAAAAATAAAATAAAATAAAAATAAATAAAAATACATACCCTTAATTTATAAAGATTTTCACAAATTTTTGTATGTGGCTGGTCACACGGTGTGGCCAGCCACAATTATTATTATTATTATTATTATTATTTTTTTAAAAAAAAAAAAATACCACAACTCTTCTCTCTCTTTTTTTTCTTATCTTCTTTTCCAAACCATACATCACCAACAACCATATCTCTACTATTCTACCACCTAGCATATTGAGAGAGATTGGAGCTCATAGCCTCATTAGTAATCCAGAGCAGGGAGATCTTTTGTATTGGCAGAATGGTACAAAAGGGAGGTTTACTATCAAATCAGCAGTACAAATAATTCGTAATGAGGTTGATGAGCAAGATGATGGATCATGGGATTTAATTTGGAGACTTAGAGTTCAACAACGAATGAGAGTGTTCCTGTGGTTAGTGTTCCGTGACAGAGTTATGACTAATGCAAATAGATTTAAGCGCTCAATAACTGAAGATCCTTGCTGTAAACTTTGCCATGAAGTAGAAGAAAATATTCTTCATGTGCTGAGAGATTGTAAGGCAGCTAGAGAGGTGTGGCGCCAAGTAGGAGGGCCTGCTAATTCTTCAAATTTTCGTTTTGGTACTTTGAAGCAGTGGCTAATTCGTAACATAAAGGTACAATTTCACAGCAATTTATCTCCTGAAATTTGGCCTACATATTTTGCTATTGTGATTTGGTGGATATGGAGATGTGCAGTTGCGTTTAACAGATCAACTGAAATCCCAATAGATATTAAACAATTCTTACTGGAAAGATTTGAGGAAGTATGGAGGGTTATGGGAGATGATATTTCGGATAACTCCCAAGTGGCTGCTAGAAGGGAAGCATTTATTAAGTGGCTTGCCCCGCCAGTTGGTTGGATGGCTTTGAACTCAGATGGAGCTGCTAAGGGATCTCCGGGACCAGCTGGAGGGGGTGGTATCATCAGGGATATAACGGGAAGAATGAGCTATGCATACTCTCTTAAGCTGGGTGACTGCAAGGCCTTCAAAGCAGAGGTCTTGGCAGCAGAATATGGACTTGAACTTGCTCGAAGAATGGAAGTGAAGAAGCTGCAATTGCAACTGGACAATAAAGCTTTGGTTCACATTCTCAGCAATGAAGATAATTATAATGGGGAATGCATTCATGATATAAATCATTGCAAGAATCTAATCAAGAAGCAAGATTGGGAAGTCGAAGTGAAACATATCTTTCGGGAAGCAAACCAAGCGGCAGATTGGCTAGCCAATCAAGGAGTAACTCAGAACAACAAAATTCAGTTGATTCAAGTCCATCCCCTAGCTTTAGGGCGTATTTTACATAATGATGTCGTAGGTGTGGCTTTGCCACGTTTTGTACCCCCTTAGTTTTTTTTATTTTGTTTTTTATTTACCGGGGCTTAGCCTCTCGTTTGCACCAAAAAAAAAAAAATCTCTACTATACCCATTTTCTCTCTCCTCTTTTCTTAGCTTCTTCTTCTTCAAGCCAAACCACACATCACCAACAACCATATCTCTACTCCACCCATTTTTTCTCTCCTCTTTGCCAAATTGCTACAATTAAAGCCCGAAATTGTAGAAATTGGGTGTTAAATTGCTGTGAAAAATTGTGATTAATTATCCTTAAAATCATCAACAACATTTGAAGTAGTGAAATTGGTGAGAACCAAAGAAATGTGAGCTCGTTTTCTTCGTGGAATCTTAGATCAAACATTCTACGCCAAAAATTGTAGGGTGTTACTAGTTTGGTTATGGGTACTTGTAGGTGTTACTGGTTTGGTCAGGGATTACATGTAGGGTGTTACTGGTTTGGTCAGGGGTTACTGGTTTGGTCAGGGGTTACATGTAGGGTGTTACTGGTTTAGTCAGGGGTTACTTGTAGGGTGTTACTGGTTTGGTGAAGGCGTTACTGGTTTGATCAGGTTACTTGTAGGGTGTTACTGGTTTTGGTCAGGGGTTACTTGTAGGGTGTTACTGATTTAGTTAGGGGTTACTTGTAGGGTGTTACTAGTTTTGCTCAAGATTTACTTGTAGGGTGTTACTGGTTTGGTTAGAGATGCTTGTAGAGTGTTACTAGTTTTGCTCAAGGGTTACTTGTAGGGTGTTACTGGTTTGGTATGGGGCTTACAAGTAACCGTTAAATAAGTAACAAGTAACCCTTGAATAAGTAATTCATACAAGTAACCTTTGAAGTAACTCATATAAGTAACCCCTGAATAAATAACTCATATGCAAGAGAGCATATGTTGAGGCGTCAGCGAGCAAGTAACCCTTGAATTAACCCATACAAGTAACCTCTGAAAAAAAAAAGTAACCCCTGAAAAAAAAAATACAACTAAATCTTGAAAAAAAAATTACAAGTAACCCCTGAAAAAAAAAATACAAGTAACTCTTGAAAAAACAAAAATACAAGTAACCCCTGAATAAGTAATCCATACAAGTAACCCCTGAAAAAAATAACAAGTAACCCTTGAATAAGTAATCCATACAGGTAACCTCTGCAAAAAAAAAATACAAGTAACATCTGAAAAAAAAAAAATACAAGTAACTCCTGAATATATAATCCATACAAGTAACCCTTGAAAAAAAAAATACAAGTAACCCCTAAATAAGTAATCTATACAAGTAACCCCTGAAAAAAAATACAAGTAACCCCTGGATAAATAATCCATACAAGTAACCCCTGAAAGAAAAAATACAAGTAACCCCTGAAAAAAAAAAATACAAGTCCGAAAAAAAAAAATACAATTAACCCTGACAAAACCAGTAACCCCGTTATGCGAGTGAATAGTAACCCCGTTATACTGTATAATCCGTTATTTTTACTGATATGGCAGCAGGCCACACGGTGTGACCTGCTGCACCAAAAAAGCTCTAAAAGATTTTTCACTTTTAATAAATTACGTTATATGCATACTTTGTACATATAAATCCGTCCGTTATTTCCAATTGATTTGCCTTATATATATCAACATAAATTACTGTACTTTAAAGATTTTTTTTACTGCAAATCCATATTTTAATATTTTTTGCATAAAATTTTACATAGTTGTCTAAGATAGATACTTAAAATATTTTTTATAAGAAAAATATAAATGTATAAAAAGCATATATAAAATTACTACAAGATCCCGTCAAAAAAAAAGAAAAAAAAAATTTACTACAAGACAGCGAATCATGATTTGAAATTTTTTAAAGTATTAAAGAATATTTTTATTTTATTTTTTTAGAAGAAAATTTTCTTCAGTGATATTACCACTCTTTGTGCAGCCAACCGACAGTCCAAAAGAAACGATCGCTGCGGTTGCGAAGCGAAGAAAAATTTGCAGCAGCAACAAAGCTTGAGAAACAGGACAACAATGGCGGTTATTCAGCAAAGATTTTGTAATCCAAAAGTATTGAAGCTAACTCTAGGGTTTATCGCTCTCTCTATTGCTGCCTACATTGTCGGACCTCCTCTCTATTGGCAATTCTTAGAGGGTTCTGCCCCTGTTTCTCTCTCCTCTTCTTCTTCATCTTCTTCTTCAACTACGCCTTCTTGTCCTCCTTGCACTTGTAATTGCGATTCTCCGCCTCTCATATCTATTCCTGATGGTATGTTCTTCAGATCTCAATCTGACTTTTTTGGGAAATTTTCAGTTTTTTTTCTTCAATTTGAATATTTGATTGGTTTTAATTCGTGGGTATTTCTGATTTATAGTCGATTTGCTGATAATATTAACTAGGTGATTAATTTATTGTTTGTTAGTTTTGGGGTTCATTTGATCATTATTATGCCGTTTGATTTTTCCTGGGATTTGATTTGGGGTTCATTTTTTTTTTAATTGATGGGTGATTCTGACTTATGCGCAAATCATGTTATGAGAAAATTTAATTTATATTTGTTTGTGGGAGGAAAAGTTTGTGATCTTCAGTGTTTCACATTCTATTTGGTTTAGATTGAAGTTCTTTGATTTGGGTTGGTAATAGACAATTGGGGGTTTTAAGGGTTCATTGTTTAAATATTTGAATGATGATATCTTGAATGTTGGAGTATATATTCTGCTATAATGACTATGATTTCGGCTTTTGATTACTGAAGAAGCTTAATAAATCTTAGTAACATTTCTGAATTTGATAATGTTGGTTTTTTTACTTGTTCTTTGAGCTCTGATTACTTTTTCATCGTATTGAGACTTTTGTTAATTTGTTCATTATGTTTGTTTGTTATTGCAGGGCTCAGCAATATTTCCTTTACAGGTTTGTCATCCTTCATTGTTATGGCTTTGTAAATACACATCGGATGAGAAAATATTACTTTCTGTCTTTGCCCTCTTTGATACGATATTATGATGTATTGAATATAAGTCATAATGTGTAGTGGCATATAGAGGGGGGTATATCATGGATATTGGCCTTTTATGTGTATCATAAGCATTAAGCAGTACTTGAAAGATGATTATTTGATGCTATTGGTAGCTTGTTGTTGCTTCTGTTTGGTACTGATCATATGTTGCGCAAATCATTATACTACCTCCTCCACACAAGGCACAATATATGAGGCTTGTGTTTACTTTGGCGGTCACTTAGATTGCCTTGGCTTGACAACTTGCACTTTAATAAATTATCGAGTTTAGATGTATAAAAATAATGTGTTTGCATCATGATAAATAGCTATACTTGATTACTGTATCATTCTTCGTCCAACTCATAAAGCTCTAAGAGTTACTTTAACTTGCATTACTTGAAAGATGATGAAGTCACAGTTAGTGAGTTCATGATTGAAATTGTTACTTTGGCCTTAACCCCTTGTGAGAAGTATAACCTTGAAGTATTAACCCAACCACCTTGGATGGTTCTCTTGGCCTTAGCCCATCTACTTAGATTTGAAAAATATTAACCTCACTTTGACAAGTATAGGGTTGTGATCAAGAAGAATGGGTTGTGGAATAAAATACACCATCATGAAGGGAAATGGTAAGCAAGCATGTTTAGTCTTAAGAGAAACTTGCACTATATGAAGCGTAAGTATGAAACTAGGAGAAGAATTGTGAGGTTTCTTAACCTCCCATAAAATACTACCATGAGAGAAGATGTGCAACTGTACTACTTCAATGCCCAACTCCTTTTTTCATACCATAAGGATCCCAATGGGTTTGTGTCATCCAGTAACGAGTTCATACCACCTCTTGGTAGGAGCAATATTTACCCTTTTCCTACTCGTACTCTAACCTATGAACCTCCAAATCGTCCAAGTCCAAAAGTCCACTTTCATGTTGTAAAATGTCCTGAAGCCGCTAAACAAAAATTACCAAGTTCAAAAGCCCAATGCTTCTTTAAACCAACCTCGTGGTAATGTGAGCCCAATCAAAAGCCCAAGTTACTCTAATTATGCATGTCTGGATGGTAATCTATGTGAGTCTGGGTCAAGTTCAGGCCGTACTCCAAGCTATAGTGGCTATAACCCAACTTTCATGACTAACCCAAGTGATAGGGATAAGTCCAAGCGAGATGATCTTGACTATGATCAAAATGAAGATGACTATATTGAAAGTGGGGCTTGCATAATTGAACTATGATTATGTTTATTGCTTTCAATAATTGCCTTAGATGGCAAAGTTGTACTTTTCTTTAATTATTAGTGAAATGATGTAATTTTATTGAAATTTTCTCTATGTTACTAAGTGAATTAAATGCAGTAACACAGAGAAAATTGGACTTGGTGATTTTTGTTTGGCGACTTCGGTAGTATTTTTTGGGAGTTTAGGAAACCTCACAATTCTCCTCCTAGGTTCATACTTACGCTTCACATAGTGTAAGTCTCTCTTAAGGCTAGACATGCTTGCTAACCATTTCCCTTCATGATGGCATTTTACATTCCACAATCCATTCTTCTTAATCACATCCCCATACTTGTCAAAGAGAGGTTGATATTTTTCAACTCTAGGTAGATGAGCTAAGGCCAAAAGAACCATTCAAGGCTTCAAACTGGTTGGGTCAAGACTTCCAAGTTATACTTCTCATAAAGGGTTAAGGCCAAAGTAACAATTCCAGTCATGAACTCACTAGCTGTGATTTCATCATCTTTCAAGTAATGCAAGTTAAAGTAGTTATGGGAGCTTTATGAGTTGGACGAAGAATGATATAGTAATCAGGTATAGCTATTTATCATGACGCAGACACATTATTTTTATATATCTAAAGTCGATACTTTATTAAAGTGCAAGTTGTCAAGCCAAGACAATCTAAGTAAGTGACCGCCAAAGTAAACACCAGCCTAATATTTTGTGCCTTGTGTGGAGGAGGTAGTATTATGATTTGCGCAACATATGATCAGTAGTACCAAGAAGAAGCAACAACAAGCTACCAATAGCATCAAACATATTTTTTAAAAAAAGATATACATACCTTATTCCACCTCCAAAACCTCAAAATTGGGTTTATGAGGCCAAATTCGACCATGAAAACTCTAGATCTAGAGTTTTCATGGTCGAATTTCACCTAAAAACCTTTGTTTTGCGCCGTTCATGTGGTAGTTAGAAAGATGGGGGAAAGAAGATGAGAGATGGAGAACAAGAATGAGGAGAAAAAGAGAACAAGAAGAGGAAATAGAAGGAGAAGAAGAGGAAAGAGAAGAGGAGAAAAAGAGGACAGAGAAGAGGAGAGAGAAGGAGAACGACAAAGAAAAGGAGAAGGGAAAAGGGATATAGAAAGAGAAGGGGGAAAGGAAAGAAAAGAGGCGGAAAAGGAAGGGGGGGATTGTTAGGGTTTTTATTTAAAAGTTTTTTTTTTCTTCTTTTTTTTTTTTAAAAAAATTATTCGGAATACAAATCCGTCGGAAATTGTACTTGCCGACGGAAAAATCCGTCGGAAGGTACATAAATTCTGATTTTCCGTCGGAAATTTCCAACGGATTTGCGACGGATTTATTGAATTCGTCGGAAATTTCCAACGGAATTAAAATCCGGAGAAATTCCGATTTTTCTGACGGAATAATGTGTCCGTCGGAAATCGACCTAATTCTAGTAGTGTTCCTTGCATCATGTTTATCTTTTAGTTGCTTTAAATGACTAATGTAGTGCTTGTAGCTATCTTAAATCTGTAACTACAGGATTGTCTTGTTTGGGATTCATGTTTTGGGATTGTTATTTTTATTTTCCAAGTGCTTTATATCTAAATTAAGTCATCTTTCCCTTCCAAATTTCATCTTCATCTGCACGGTTTTGGCCAACTAGAAGATTTCACAACTTAATGAATATGGTGGTGTTGAAATCTTCCCTTGCTGTACTTCCTCAATTATTCTATCTATATGTATTATATAGTGATTTCTGGTAATGTTTGTTTTCCCTCCTATAGTTTCCTGTGAAACTTATTTATCCTGTTACATAAATTTAATAAATGCGGGTACATAATTCGTCAAATTTCTTATATAATGACTGCATTGGAATTAAAGCTTAGATAATGAATGCTCAGCATTTTTGTTATTTGTTTTAGTTTTACTTTGATTTTATAGAACAAGCCTGGCTTGATTATTAGTTTATCTTCTACTTTGTTGCTATGAGTCCTATAACACATCCCTCATGCTTGGGTCATCCTAGATGTGCACAAGCTTTGCTTTTGAAGTGTTAATGTGTTTTGAACTTTCAAGAGTTAATCTGTGCTATTCTCCCAAACCACTTGGGCTCTGGGCTGCACTTTGAATTTATAAAGACACAACTTATGTGCTTTGACATAGTATGTCTGCTGCACTTTAATGGTGGCAGGAGTCCTTTGGTTGAGTACTGAGTACTTTGAAGTGATGTGCGTATCTAGCTTGGACAATTTCCATCTAGTTTTGCTATCTCAAGCTTACCTGAAATTACTTTATCCCGGTACTGTTACTGATGCATTTTTATTATAATCAGATTGTTCAAAGCATGATCCAGGGGTCAGTGAAGATACTGAGAAGAATTTTGCTGAATTGCTAGCTGAGGAATTGAAATTACGAGAAGCTGAAGCTGCAGAAACTCAGAAGCGTGCTGACATGGCTTTGCTGGAAGCTAAGAAGATCACTTCTCAGTACCAAAAGGAGGCAGACAAGTGCAATTCAGGAATGGAAACCTGTGAGGAAGCCAGGGAGAAGGCTGAAGCAGCTTTGGTGTCGCAGAAAAAATTAACTGCAATTTGGGAACAACGGGCTCGCCAAAAAGGATGGAAGGATGGAGTTACCAAGTCCGGTGCTCAGTTGCAGGGAAATGTTCAGTCTGTATAGTATACTCTGTAGTTTTTCAGAAGACTCGCACCTGAACCTTTATCACAGATACTGAATTACAGCCCAAAATTTACATTCAGGGTGTACGGCCCCCCAAAATCCATGAGCTGCTTGTTGCTTACTGTCATCATATCCATCGAGAATTTATCACTGGAGCTTGGATAGTTGTCTCAACACATTCCGCATAACAAGATGTGCATAATTGCTTTAAAATATAATTTTGTAAACACGAAGAATCCACTTTAGCCGGCTGAAAGTGTAATGAATATTCTCGACAGCAACTTAGTGTTTTGTCTAATTATATTTGGTAAACAGGAAATTTTATTTATATCTCAAATGGCTTTTGTAACTTGGTCGAAACTTGCTGCTTGAGCTTTGAAGGATTTTCTTAATCTACCTGTTAAACGCTAGGATTCCAAGCTAACCAATGACTATTAACTAGAAGTACTCAAATGTCCTTTTGTTTCCTCTCTATCTTTCAACTCATAGCGACATAACCTAGCGGCACCAGCCACCATACATTTCCCAACGCAACGAGCCCATAGCTGCCGCCACCCCCTTCTGCCTTCTCCACCTGACCAGTTAATATTATGATACCTAATTCGGAAAAGAGGCTGCCCAAACTATTATGGTCTTTCAAGCAGGAATTTTATTCATTAATCTAGCTGGCTATCAGGTACCAAGTATCATTTTGAAATTATTAGGTACATGATAATGGTGCACTAAGCTATTACTTCCTCTCTTTCACAACTAGTCTTTTTATGCACGTGATACGAGTATTACACTTCAATTAAGAAAATTTTCATCATCATTTTTAAACAATGTTAGAATATTAAAATGTAATGAGTCAAAAACAAAGAAAATTTTCATCATCAGTTTTAAACAATACTCCCTCCTTCTCTAAATTACATTCCTCCTTTCTATTTTTGGTATTCTAAAATTACATTCCTCCTTTCTATTTTTGGTAAGTTTTTTTTAGTAAATCAACTCTCTTTTTCTGTTTTATATTTAATGCTTTCTCACTCATCCTTACCTAATCTCACTCATAATCCTTGTGCCAAATTACAATGAATATGATTGGTTAAAAATTTTCAATTAGGAGCATGTGATTGGTCCTTTTTTTTTGCAAAGGATTGATGACATGTCATGAGTAATAACTAATCTATCTTTGTACTTCCCATTGCATTATCTAATTATTGTTATTTGTCTTGTTCTTTCCTCCTTAATTCCCGTGTAAATTTCCAAAGAGGAATGTAATTTAGGGACGGAGGGATTATTAGAAAATTAAAATTTAATGAGTCAAAAACAAAGAAAATTTTCATCATCAGTTTTAAACAATATTAGAATATTAAAATTTAATGAGTCAAAAACTAAGATGGCCTAATATGTTTTGAAAAGTATAAACAAAACAATAGATAAAAAGTAAACTAACCAAATATATGACAATTATTATCAAGAAGTTAGTAGCTATTCAATTAAAAGAACCAACAATAATGTTCATTCCGTTATTAAATAAATGTATCACATAGTCATACATATGATAAGGATGTAAGAATTTATGCGAGATTGTCTTTTGGGGGGAATTCCAAAGGGAGGTTAGTTATGTATATGCTCATACATAACAAATGGATTTACTTTTTTTTTTTTTTTTTTTGGAACTTGTTATAGTACTACTGAAACTATTAATAATATGACCTACACTGTATATTTTACCCTTAATGGTATTAATAGTACTAAAAGAGAATACTTAAATAACAACGTTTTATAATTAAGAGTAATAGTCACTTGTTTTCTAATTAATGGCTTTTAACGGTACTAATTATCACAACTCTACTACTTATGTATCAAAATAAATTATTTAGCAGTTTAACAGCCCACCATGCTTCGCAATAATAATTTTTTAACTAGAGAGTTTTGACCAATACCTGAACTTAGACGACAGTGGAACCTCCGGCGTTCTGAGCTTCCGGCTTTACCAAGGTAGCTAACCCCAACTAACCTTGTCTTCCTTAGATCAGGCTCAACACAGATCTATTTCGTTTCCTACCTTAGACCGTAGTCTCTAATTAAATAATCCTTACTGTGTTTATGATGGAACTTTTTAAACAGAAAGATAATTCATTTGATATATAAGGTTCAAGGGAATAACGTTCCCTTCTTGAACGAAACTTTTATTTAATCTGAAAAGATTACAATACTCATATATTACAACACACACACACAAACTGAAAGTTTAAACAGACATAAGCTGAACTAGAGTTTTCTCTACTTTAAGAGAGATGGAGAACCAATCTTTCTCTTAAGGTGAGTATTTTTATCTAGAGGACTCTCTAAATCTTTCAGAGTAGTTCTCTAGCTAACTCTTCCAACTCTGCCTTCACTTCTTGGCCTAAGTCCCTTTATATAGGGAAGCGAAGTTACCTATGATTCTTATCCTGACTCAGCAAGCAATTCTACACCATTGCTTTTTACAAAGATACTTTAAGACAGAAACAATTAATAAAACATGGCTACAGTGAAGATTCCTTGCATTATTGCTGGTGTGGGCTCAAGCATTCATAATTTCATCCATCGTCATTTCTTGTAGGCCTCCCTCACTATCTTTACTGTCTTCGTACATAGGATTCTCTCTGCAAAGGTCTGCAACACATTTGGCTGCATATTCTTCATCCCAACTCATGAATGCTTCAAACAGATACTCATAGCCTTCAAATGACAGAAACTTTCCACTTTCGATATCTTCTAAGTATTTGTAGATTGACTCAGTGTTGTTTATGCCATTTACTAAATATTTTTTCATCTTGTTTGGCGCCACAATTGTAGTGTTACCAACATGAAATATGACAAGAGGAATTTCTTTTCTTTTTATAAAATCGTTAAGATATTGTGAAATTTAGAAAAATCCCAGTGCTCTTGCCTCACTTGGATTTCTAACAGTCTTCTGACGAATTAGTATGGGATCTTTGCAACACCTCACTTCCCCAAATATTATCAAATAATGCGGGGGACTAACTTTTCCTTCTTTAACTTCGATATTAGCACATTGTACCCTTACTTTTAACTGAAATTTGTCTTTTTTGTCATCACAATATTTTCGAACCTTGTTGAATGTGTACTGCTGGAACTTTGTAAGTCTTGGAAAGAAAGAGTCATTAGGAGTAGGGAATTCACAAAAATCATGTACCATTCCATAATCCCAATCCTTGTAATGTATACTAATGAATGGAGCATTTTTATTAAGAGGATATGGGTAGATTCACAATGATGCAACTTTAGAGTTTTTGGGAAACTGTACTCTTTCTCCCCATAGATCTCGAAGATCAAAGAATTTACTGGACCTTGTAACCACCAACTCGTACCATGTCCTAAAATCGTTATCTCTTATTTTGTTTAACATTGTATTTCGTACATCAGGAATGAGCTGAAATAACATAATTGTTATTTCGAACATCAATAGCCTTTGGACTGCCCGATGGCAACCCTTAATTAAACCATCTCGCGAACGTTGTTTTGCTGATATGATCAAGCCTTGCATTAAGGCCCAACTGGAGGGTGAAACCCGCTCCATTGCCTTTTCGGTCTCATCAATGAGAGTTTTTCTCTCTACATCCATCTTTTGAAGTTGGTATGCAGGAGGTTTTTGTGTAATCTTGAGCTTCTTGGACGTCAAGCTGTCTGCCAAAGAATTCTTTGTTCCCTGTATATGTTCAACAGTAAAAGAGAATTGGTTAAGCCATAATTGCCAACGCAGGAGTCTCCCTTGCGCTTGCATATTGGACAAATTATTTTTAACAAAACCGAGTATGGCTTTGCAATCTGTTCTTATTAAGAACTGTTTAGGGGCTAAGAAGATTAAACACTTCTCGATTCCTCTAATAACTGCAAGTATTTCCTATTGCATTGTAGGATAGTTTAACTAAGCTTTGTTAAAACTTCCACTGCTATATCTGCAAAGTCTTTCTCCTTCTTTTATTTTTAACACAGCACTCCAGTGCTCATTACTAGCATCTGTTTCAAGGATTAAATCATCTTAACTAGTAGGTAGTGTTAGTACGGGAAGATTTTTACACATAACTTTCAAATTTTGAACAATTTTGGAATAACTTTCCTTCCAGTTCCAAGTTATTTCTTTCTTGAGTTTTTGTTGTAATGGCTTTCTTAATAAAGCAAGATTTTCTATAAAATCAGAAGCATAGGTTAAACATCCTAGAAACCTTTCTAGCTGTTTTCTATCTTCAATTTTATCGGGAAATTTTTCAATCTTTTCTAGAATATGTTTTTGCAGTATTATTTGTCCTGCTTTAATTTCTAATCCTAGAAACTCAATTTCTTTCTTAGCATAGACACATTTATCTTTTCCAAGGATTATACCATGCTCTGCACATTTTTGAGTTACTGCTTTAAGATCATTTTTATGTTGTTCTAAATCTTTTGAGAATATTAGAATATCATCTATACAGACCAAACAACAATGATTAAGTTCTCTAAAAATATTATCCATTCTTCTCTGAAATACCTGTGGAACATTTTTTAATCCAAAAGCCTTTACTAGCCATTCATAATGCCCTTGACGGGCACTAAGTAACCCTATCACCACGCTGGCTGCGCGTAAATTACATTGTCTGATGAGTATAAGCCTTCGTTATTTTCTATATGGGAACAGAATGACCATTAATAGTAAAGATTATTTGATCACTAGTTTCAGTGCATGAGAGTATAACTTTTGAAAATTATTTCCTATTATCATATCATGACTAGGCTGATTAGTTGCCCATAAAATAGGAATAACACATTGAACTCCTCCAATTTCTATTTTTAAATCTTCAATTATCTCTGTACGCATCATGACACTATTATTAGCAATTCTAACTTGCATAGGATTTTTGGCCTTTTTCCACAAGAATTCTGGAAATAATGATCTCTTTCCAAAACATGTAGAACAACCACTATCAATATATGCACATAATTTATATTTATTATATTCTTCAATGCATATATCAATTGGTATATAAATACTATTAGAAATAGTACTGGATATTTCATTATAAGTTTCCATTTTCATATTAACTTCATCTTCATATACTGGTTCACTCACAATTTTGGTTTTATATCCAATTACCTTCCTTTATCAATAGGATTATTTGGATCTTCATTTAACTCGAAATCAGAACATGATCCCATATCAATGTTATGTCTTTCTGGTTGTTTTAAGACCTTTTTACTTTCATATTTTTCATTTAGTTTCTTTAGTAGAACTAATATTTCTTCTTCATCCTCTTCTGGCTTTTCATCACCTTGTTTTTTCATTCTTATTATTGTTGAATTTTGTCTACTTAGACTTGGTGTTCTAAGACTCAAATTTCTCTGTATTTTAGGTTTTGTATTCATTCCA